ATATCACTCGGTAATTTGAAAGTTATTCTAGTAAATTTAGATGGAATTGGTACGAAAAAAACTGTAGCGGGCATCTTTTGCTGCAGTTTACTTCTGTTTGAGACGTAGATCACAGATCCACAGCCTTGCCCCTAAGTTTCAAATGCAAGCGTATTTTGCATTTTTCGAAAAAAGATATAAAATACAAATTTGTAGAAAATTTAATTTCCCAAATTTTTTTATATAAGTTTTTTTTTTAATAAAAAGACATTTTTATTGTTAACGTTTACTTCATTCGAAATCCCGTACTTATTAACAAACAAAAAAATATAAAAATTTTTAAAATTATGAAAAGTACTTTGTCACATGTAATTCGAAATACATACATACTCGCATATTTTGCATGCATACAAACCTATTGTTAAACATCAGCTAAACGGCGTGACGTAACAAATCTCCACATTGCGCGTGTATAATGCAAATTCAATTGAGCAAGATTGCAATAAGGCATCTGCGATAAATTGCAAGTAATTATAGGCGTAATTGAAATTCCAAACATTGATGCATTGACTGATCGAATGCCTAATGCACGCAATGACGGATGGAATAAAGCGGGCGGGCTATAAAATTAAATTTATTGCAATTGTATGCTATTTAATAGCACATATACCCAAAAAGGCGCTTTCGAAATTTTTGATTTACTTTTTTGCGTACTTTTTTTTTTTAATTGAACCGAATTCCACAGATTGGTAAAAAAAAACAGAGTGCGCGTAGGTGTTTTGCATACCTAAATTGTATTTTAGCGCCATGCGCACATGTTTTAATTGTAAAACAAAAAAGAAAAAGTATTAAAAAAAATTAGCTTTTTATTCTCACTTACCCCTCGTCCTTCCTCGAAGGCATCGCGCATTGAGTAGCCTCTTCGCCCCATTATTTTTCGGCGTAATTTTCTCCTTGGTGGCGTTGTATTGCTGCTGCTCGTCGGAAAGATGTCTTCCTCACTGCTACTGTCGTCCCCACTGACACTCAAATAGTTATTATTATTATTGTTTTTACTACCACTTGCCGAACCCACTTCGGCATCTCCCTGTTGCAATGCAGTGTAGTTCACTGACTGAAAGCGATTAAAACGGGGACCGAATGTGCCGAGTATTGCGCCAGCAACTCCACCACTACCTTCTTTTGTGGTGGTAGGCTTTCGTTTGTTGCGTGCCACGCCGCCACCTGTACGTCGCGTGTTCGGTCGCGTGCTACCGCCGACCCCTGCTGCTGTCGAGCTGCCTGCTTCTGTGCTGCTTTGTGATTGCTGTATCTCCAACCAGGTACTCATCACTGCCTTAATTGCAGTTATTGCATATATAACTATGTACTTTGAGCGCAGGTTGGGTTTCACTTCACAAAGTGACTGTTTGTTTGATTTTTTTATTATTATTTTTTTTTTTAATTTTGCGCGACTTGTTTCGGGTGGGCCATGTTACGGTTAAGGAAATCTGAAAAAAAATAAAATAAATAAAGAATTATAATTTGACTTTGAAAAATAAATAAAATTAATATAAAAACAATACAGAAATACATATTTGGCGGTTACACTTTTGCTAAGTGTTTTGCTGAGCTTCTTCCTCAATTTGTGGTGTGCATCTTGGTGATGCACATGGACGAGCCTACAATTTTTCGCCGCCTCCGAACAGAAATAGGAGAATCTTTTAAATACGTAAGCCAGCTCAAGATTTTTCTCCTTGAAAGGCCAAAAAACTTGCAGGCGAATACTTATACGGGACTGCGGATGTATGTAAACATTAGTGCATTGTAAAGACACTTTTGTACTTTAGGGTGCATCACCAAAAAACCATGTGGTTTTAACACTGAAATTATGAAATTTTGTTATATATGAAAACTTCCCCCAAAATATTTTGGAAAAATATTAAGATCTACTGAGCTAGATTGATTTGAAAATGCTTCAAAAAATTGCATTATATTGATTCCGGTAATAAAATTAAAAAAAAAAAAAATGTAATTAAACCTTTTAAGCTTAAACTCTTCTGTCATCTTTTCAGACAAAATATTGTTAAAAACTATTTTTTTTTTAAACTTGATTTTTGGATTTTTTTCAAATGGGTCTAGCTCACGTAAAATTTAACACTTTTCCGAAATATTTTGGTGGAGGTCCTAAAATATATGTAGATATATTTTATAATTCCGATGGAAAAACAGTACAGAATTTTTTTGTAAAGAGAGTGATGTACCCTAATGTACAAAAATATGTTTGAAGATGTAGTAGTGCACTTTTGAATATATTTTCAGGTATGTTGAGTTGAAATTTTTGCGCAAAGGCCTCAAACCAAATGTATGAATTTGCATGCACTTTTTAATATAACAGCCATATGTGCAAGCATGCGCACATACACACATGCATATAAATGTAGAAATGCACGTAAGTGGGGCAATCTCAAGATCAAAACCAGTTGGCGAAATTTCACTCATATTTTGGGGAGCAGTAAGAATGCAACAGTTTTTGCTTTTATTCGAAAACTACGTACATACTTACTGTTTTTTTTTGGGGAATGCACGCACATAAATGAACGAATAAAAGCTGCAGTTGTAAAAATTCAATTTCTCATGCTTGCCTGTGGGTAAATTTGGGCCGGATTAAAGTATGGGCTGACGGCTTTGTTGCGCGGGGCCCCATCTGGCGATCACGAGAAATTTAGTTGTTTGAAAATTTTAAATGTCCAAAAAAAGCTTTGTCATCAAAGTTGTGTGCTATTGGCATGAATCTATTGGATTCAAATACAAAAATACAGCACTGGTTGAAATACTTAAATGCACTTATCGTTATCATGGAAAATTGGTATTAAAGGACGAGTTAAAAGTAACTTTTCGAATAGCTTCGACATTACCGGTAGTAGGGATATGGGCTTATATGAGGACACTTCGTTGGGTGATTTGTCAGGCTTGGGTACCATAGTAACTTGCGCGAATTTTCAATACATACGTACTCGCTTCAAGCTAAAGCATTTATTTAGCAAGCTGGTCAAATGAACTATGCAGTTTGTTGGTAATTTGCGAAGAACTTGGGCCGTTATTAAGTCAAATCCAGGAGACTTTTTAACTTCATTTTGTTTATCTGTTTGCCAACTTCTTCCGGTGTAAATGGACTAATATTGATATCGCATTCAGGCCAGCATCCAGTTACTTCTATTTCATCGAAGCCTTTATTAGGGCTAAAGGTCTTTTCCAGTTGCTCAGCAAACAGTGTTGCTTTTTGGTAACTTGTTTTGGTCCACTGCCTTTCAGTAACGTTAACGGGAGCAATGTGTTGCATAGTCTATTGAAATCTTTAGCCGCCTTCCACAAGGACCAATCTGTGCTTTTATCAGCCGTGAGACAGACCAGGAACCGATTGTTAAATTCAGTTTAAATTTAATTTCTGGAGATCTGGTGTGCTGCCAGCGTTTTCATTATTTACGTTTTTTTGCAACTAAGTTCCTTATAAAGGGTAGCTTTTTTCCTAAGCAATTGGTTATGGTGTGGGTGTACTATTCCACGCCGCCAAATACGATTGTTTCATGAAGACGAATTCAAATTTATTAAAAGCGAGCTTCTCAGGCTCAAACAATAGAAGTTTGTGAATAGGCATAGGGATCAAATTTTAGCCGATATCCAGTGCGACATTGATTCCCAAAGATGCCGTTTTAACTGAGAAATATTGATGCCAACTCTTTAATAGCCTGTAAAGGTAGACACAATCAGAAGGCTGGGCTGCATAGAGACTCTGTGGGGCGCTCTAACGTTGTAAATTTGGTATTAAAAGCTTAAGAAGACTGAGAGAGCACGCAGAGAAGTCGTCTATCGCCTAAACATTGGGCACTGGTTTTGAGCTATTCGGCATTTGAATGCCTAAGGCCAAGCAAACCTATTTTGATTTAATAGATAATATTTTTTTGGTTGGTCAGCATTGCTACTGATTTCAACTTCTAGTTTTTCTTAGTGTATTAGAATATTAGTTTGTCAGCTCCAATAACACCAGCAGAGCGTAAAACGTATTAGCATAAACTGACCATTTGCCTCGATTTACTAGCCACTCATTCAGAACGCCAATACGAGAAATGTTGCATAGCCACTTAAGTACATATATGTATACAGACATGCATTCATATTCATATGAACTACAAGAGGAACAGCAGGTCAAAAATAACAAGCGCTGAGTAACAACAATGTAAAGCAGCAATACTAACAAAGCAAAACAAGCCACTGGCTAACTAAGTAAACTTGACTAAAAGCAGTCGCTGACCGACTAATTCACCAAGCGAACTGCATGACTAACCAAGTAGCTAAGTGAACGATCAAATGAAAGAACGATGAAAAGAACGCGCAACAAAGAAAGAGCCCCCCCCCCCCACAACAATCCACAGAGACTTTCTTCAAAGCATTGGCTTATTGTGCGCATGTGTATGGAGTGTTCTTGCTGCTGATGGGCAACAGAAGGGAAGGCATTAGCGCGCTTGTCCGAAGTATCACGAAGCGAAATTGAAGGTGGACAATATTCATAATGAAGATAATGATCATGACGATGATGACGAAGATGAAGGTGAGGATAAAATTCAGAGCCACGGCCAAGGCAACTGGCCCGATCGTACGTGAAGCAAGTGCCGAATTCCTATGTGGGAAACGCAAGGGCGGTGGCGAATAGAAGTGCGCTGTGGGTTGATGAGGCGGCTAGTTAGATGGCTAGCCGGCGACGCATGCCTCTAAGCAGTCCTTTGGTTTGAACATCAATTACAAAACAATGCGTGCGGGTTAGGCGATCGTCGCTGCCAACAGCGGCATCACCATCGTTGTCGTCATCGTCATCGCCATTGCAAACATCAGCGCCAAACAGAGCGACAGTGGCAGCAACAACATTGTATGCAGACATTGACAGCGCGCGCGACCGCGGCCACGGCCATGGCTACGGCGCTATCGAACACCAAACCCCACATTCAGTATCTTTTAAGACTTTCGCGCGAAATGTTGTGCCGGTGATAGCAGCTGAAGCTCAAACAAAAATTTAAAACAGAAACTAAAAAAAAACAAAACGCAGCCAAGTGACAACTGAGTTTGCGCGACTTGAACCACAAGCGCGGCGTGCGGTAAAAGGGAGTGCGTATTTTGAATGCGATTTTTAAAGAAGACGTGATTAAAATAAAAAGGTGATTTGTTACGTCAAATGAGTAAATGTTACACGCAGCTGAGACACTTTCAGAAGTGTGCGTGGCTTACAAATTTAAAACTGTTTTGGGATTTTAAATATTAAAAAAGAAAAAAAAAACAGTAAACTACGGAACTCCTGGAACAAGTTTTAAAAGTACAAAAAATGTACGAAAGTAGAACAGAAAGTTATCTAATTCTAAAACAACAATAAAACAATTTTTGTGTGCATTCAACTATAACTAAATATGATTTACTTTTATCTCTTTGGTCTATCTGTCCCAAATTTGAGACTAAGTTTTTCGATATTTTTTTCTCGCTTAGTAAAATGGGGTTAATGAAAATTCAAATTTTTAGTTTTGGTACTCGGAAAATATTAGAAACCTTCTACATACTTAGGGTGTAGGTATGTATGCGTTACTGCCGCGTCGTCGTTTAGTCGCTTAGTTAGTAAGTGCGTTGCAACGTGTGATTTATGACACATAATACACAGTAAAGCCATAATCTATAAATGGCTTTGTTTGGTAACAAAGGTAGTTTCAATAGTAACAACAGTGTGCTAACGAGGAGTGCCTAATACCTGAGGGTAAACATGAAGTTCTAACGGTGAAGATGGTGTATTTACTGGCTGAATTGATGTTAATGGCTTAACAAAGAAGAGATAATGAATATTTAAGACGAGCAAATTAATCATGAGCACATAATTGCAGTTGAAGAAAGATAGCCGAATGCATACTTTTAAGAGTAGCACTGGGAATTGTACCACAGGCTATCTATCTGCTAAATGAATCATAAAAGTTTCATGAGACATTCCACGTGACATGTATTTACTGATTACCAGGGCCATCGGGATCCGTGCCAGGCCCCGGTGCTTATTACTTACTTTTGTAAGGATTGGACATGGATTAGACAAGGGCTAGAGACACGAGCCACTTAACGGTACTAAGGGTTTTTATTTTTTGGAATTTTGAATTGTGTCGTTATTTCAGAGGACCATCGATAAGTAGATTTAAACTATGACGAGCACAAGGTGCGAATGATTCCAGTGAGTTATCTCTCAGGATACGACTCTGTGCTACTTTGTAATGGTCGCTTATATTACTTTCATTGTCATATCCTTGCCCACTAAAGTCAGCCAGTGGAATGTTGTGCATTTGTAGAGTGCTACAGATAAGCTCAGCGATAGCTTCGCCTATTTTGACGTTGCAAACAACAAACTGCAAGAATAGTTCTTGGATTTCCCATGTTCCAGCCAGTTTATGACTTTATGTGAATAAGGTTCAATAATATGTGAAATTTATCAGATTTCAAGTAAAAAATTTTAATTTTTTATTTAAAAAAATATATTTTTTTTACAACCCGGTAGAAACCCCTAATTTTTTTTTTTTAATTTTGAAGCTTCCATGGATGTCTTTATTATCTACGTTAAATTTTTTTTCTCCTAAAAATATTGGAAACAAAAAATAAATAAGTTAATTGTAAAAACAAATATTCTTAAAGCAAGCTTTCTAAATATGAACGAAATGTGACAATAAGTACTGGTTTACCAAATATATCGATTCGTGCGCCACCTATCGGCAAAATTTTTAGTGGACTTATTCCATGTAGTTAATATACTTTCTAACAAGAACCAAATCGGACTATAAATACGGGATTTGGAAATATCTTGACTCCTGCGCCACCTATCGGATTAACTCATCTTTAGTATTGTGATTGTCATCGAGTTCTGAGCCAACTGTGAAGTTTCAAGTCTCTAGGCCATCGGGAAGTTGATCAAAAATTTATTGCAAGATTTGCCCCTAACAAACATACATAAATATATACATGCTACACAGCAAATTAAATAAAAGCTTGTAAAAATATAAGCCGTATTCTAACAAAGTCACAAACCCTTCTACTGCGCCTCAAAATTTGCTGCGGCGAAAAATATGCCGCTAAAACAAAAATATTTAAGTTTTTGAGTATTTTTATAGCACTTAAAATCTAGTTTTTGTTGCACATTTTGCGAAGCACTAGAAATCACAAAAGTGTGAGCTAAGTTTTGTGACTCTGTTAGAATAGAAGGGTATATTAAAAAAAAAATCGAAAAAATGTTATTCAAAATAATTTTTTGTATCTACTTAACAACAAAAAACTGCGTTTTTAGTTATTATCTCTGGCGTCAGGATATTTTTTAACAGACTTTGAAATATCAAAGATATGATTAATTCAAAAAATTATTTGAAAATTGGGTTTTATTTAATTTTAGTTTTTAAGCAAATAAAGTTGGAAGGGCAAAATTCTGGGTCATGTGTATATTTTGCCTTCGCATATAAATTTTTTCATAATATATATATGTATTGCCAATTCTGAAGGATATTCAAGGATAAAATTTTAAAAGGACATTTTCAATACCCATTCTTCCCTAACAATTTTATTTTATTTATTTTTTGATACTCATATTGTTATTCTACATACATCTTACTGATTGTTTTTAATATAAATAAAATATGCTGACGTAAGAGAGTAAAACTAAAAATGCAAATTTACTGTTTTTGGTCCCAACTTTCGCGAATATGTATATTTTATGGCGTGTAAATATTAGTGCAATTAAGGAACCGTAAAATTAAAATCTCATCTCTGCAGCCATCAACTTGAGGATAAAATTAAAATTTGATTAAAGGTTGCATAAAAAAATTAATAATTAAAAAAAAAATTAAATTTACTATATAAATCAGAATCAGTAAGAAGACAACTGCATCGTGAACAAAGCACTCTGAGTGCCGTGAAGTGCATCCAAATCAACAGTTAATCGCATGTCTTGCCACAATTAGTGGCATTCAACAGAAGCAGAACGGTAGTGCAATCAAGAGCACCGTTTTGATTGCAATATAAAAGCAACACACAAAAAAATAAAAATCGAATAAAATATAAAGAAACTTGAACCTGTAGTTGTTAATAAAGTCACATTCGCAGCAACAACAACAACAACCACAACAAACAATTAATATTGCAACATCAATCGCAACAAGCAAAGCTATCAAGAGCAGCTGCTGCAACTGCACTGACAACAACACACAGTACAAATTTTGTGCATTTAAACGCAACTAAACACTTCTAATTGCATAATCATTAATAAATAGCTCAACGTGCCACTGCGTGCGCGTGCGTGCGTGTGTGAGTGCGCCCGCTTGTGTGTGATTCCCTCTTTATTTGCAGCAATATCGCATGTTGCACATAACAAAATGTTAAAAATGTTCCACTTACGTCAGTTGCAATTTATTCTAATAATAATTTCCTGCCTACTGTTGAGCGTTACGCCAACAAAAACAGCAACGACAACAAATGCTACAAAGGTAGCAATAGACACAGCAGCAGCAAAAACGGGAGCGGAGTCAATAACAGCAAAAAAAGGCAAAGCATCAATATTCGCTGATGTTGTAACAGCGGGCGCGCCCACTGTCGTCTCATCCATCGTAATTCCGGGAAAATATCATGCCTACACACAACACTTGCCGCAATCAACATACAAAAAGGTGCATGTGTCAGCAACGGCAACGGCAACTCATCAGCATCACCATCAGATGAAGCAACAGCAGCAGCAGCAACAAAACCAACAGCAACGACAACAGCGTGTGGACGTTGCCAAACCTGTCGCACTTCCCAGCGCTAAACTCAATCCCATCAGAAATTGGTTTGGCATCTTTAATCGGAACAACGCACAGGCGACGGCGCATGACACAACGACGACAACGTGCAATTGCAGGTATGTACATTTGTATGTATGTCTATTAACATAAATAAACGAAGTCATGTATAGGGTGATTCAATAAGACCGAATATGTTAGCAATTGGGCCATTGGTCCATTGTGTGGCAAGAGGCAACGTCTTGTGGTCTCAGTAAATCAGGCCATAAAAATTTGTTTATCAAGTTTATCAAGTCGCCATAACGTCCGTTCACCGTAACGCCATTACCGATATCATTTTCGAAGAAGAACGATCCAATGACTCTGCCAGCCCAAAAACTACACAAAACAATGACTCTTTGTCTGTGCATAGTTTTTTTTGCAGTAGCTACAGTTTCCACCCTTTAAATCACCGGTTATGGATGGAATATTACCAGTCATGCTTCAGGAAGTTTCTGAGATGGTAATTCCAGTCCTAGAAGCAATATTTAGGGGGTAGCTAATACTGAACCACGTTCCGTTAAGCTGTAGGAAGATTGAAGCAATTTTTATTCCTAAAGCAGGGAAACGGGGTCATGAGAATGCGAAGTATTTCCGACCAATAACCCGCATGTCCTTTGTATTCAAGACGTTTGAGAGGATACTGGATCTGTACCTTTAGGACAAAACGTCCCATTTATCAAACTCTCAACTTGAAAAGGAAGTCAACGGAGACTGCCCTACATGAAGTGGTACGTACAATTGAGAGTTCGCTTTATTATAAACATCATCAGACACTTATGGAAATAGGGATCGATTACTGCGTCCAGACATGGATAGTGTCTCTGCTAAGGAATGGAGCAATACACGCCAAACCCCTACAGGGAGGAGTGCTATCACCGTCTCATGATCTTGAACAAACTACTGGTAAAGCTAGACTCTCAGAGAATTGAGGCGGTGGCTTCCGCCGACGATGTAGCGATGCTGGTATCGGGTCAATTTCCTACGGCCAAGGAAGGGCACGATTTCTCTATATGCAGCTGCTAACAGCACCATCAGACTGCGTGCCCTGGGGTTCTGGAAGGAAAGCCCGTTCGGGCCGGGTTACATCCCAGGCGCATTACCGTCTAAAATTAAAGCGCTGCCCACTGACTATATCCTGTGGACGCCCTGGGTTCACCACAAACCTCGCACTAAATTCAAAAGCCCAGTGACTGGAATCAAGAGAAGGTCGATCACTTTTACTCGTTGGGTCACTTTTACTCCTTGTGGAACTGAGTATCGCTGCATGACTAAGTTTTCCACAGCCTGTAGGTACCAATTGTCTGGAACAAAATATCAACATATCACAAATAATTGCTGTCAAAGATCTGCATCACCCTATAAGTAGTAGATAATATTTATGCGCACATGTTTGCAAACATACTCGTTGTTAGTATCTGCCACAAATCGACTTATCTCCTTAGCCCCACTAAAGTGGCAAGTCATGCTGCTCTTCGGTGTGCATTGCGTGTTGGCTTACAGGAAGTCTGGATTTGTGTGTATTTGCAATTTTATTCAATGGTGTTGCATATTTTTATATCGTCATCACCATGATCTTATCCTCATCATCGTCATCATCATCCTCACCGCCAGCAAGCACAAAAACAGCTTCGTCATCTTTGTCATCTTTGAGTGCAGCGTACTGTTGCACACGCAATATAACTGTTTAGCACTCGTCCGAACGTCAATACTCGACTTAAAATGCCAATACAAATATATGCACATATACTTAGTTATTTATTTATTAAGTAAACACATTCTACTTGTTTGTTCAAAGGAAGTTATTTCTTGCACAGTTCAGTTTCTTAATGATGTCTGCCAAGAATTTTTTTAATTACATTTGTACAGTAGGGTGGTCCTTAAAATCGAATGAATGATTTTTTTTCAGTCTCACCCTTTCAATACAAAGTTCACAGATATCACATATAAATTTTGGTCCCGATTGGAGACGGTTAAGGCGTGTCGCACAGAGGGCAGATTTCAGCTTCTTCTCAATAACTCGGCAGCCAGACCCTATCTCAGAATTTGGTTGAAGAACGCCATATTTTAGGATATGATTCAAAAACGTCCTATCTCAGCATATTTTCAATGTATTTTTGTTTGGGATAGGGCGTTTTTTAGCCGAATTCTGAGAGAGGGAGTTTTTCAATAAAATTCTGAAATAGGGCATTCTTGAAAGTGCTCTGAAATAGGGAGCTTACGGACTGGCTGCCGAGATAGGTCGATCTTTCACTCAGCCATCGATATAGTGCTTATGCTTTAGTGCTTTACGACACTCACATAATGGCAAGAATTCTCGTAAAAATTTCCATATTTGAGTATGCAGTGCAAAGTGCGAGTTTAAAGTCTTTCGAAGTTATCAATAAAAACCGTCGAAAATGCTTCGTATGAAATGACTGACATGACTGTTTTGAAAGTTCTAGTTTGGGGTCATATATTTTAACCGAAATTTTACTTTTTCGAGCTCTGGGGGTAGGTCGATCGCCCCTCCCCTCTATCCGCCGCTGAGTAGCATCGACGTAGGGGATGAGGCTTATGAAAGTGAAAATTTGCTTTCTACATTTAAGGACTACCCTAATGTACATACATACATACACATAGATTGTATGTATATAAAGTATTATAAATATAAACAAGATTTATTCCCATCGCATTAATGAAAATTTAAGCTATCCTGCTTGGACTGGGTTTCCGCTATCTAGCGCATGGGAGAATAGACAGGTAAAGAAGTTTATATTGTATAGTTGCTCTGCCTTGCCTTGCTGAGGCAGAATATTGTCGCAAAATTAGGTTATATTAGGTGAAGTATATTTCCTGGCATTCTAACACTGTGAGTACTTTAGCTATTGTTTCCACTGAGCCTTTTTTAGATGGTGCAGGACTTCAGACATGGATTTTTTGCCTTTACCTATCCCTTTTGTAATCGATATAAACGAAGAACTGATTCTAAAGAGTATATTTGAAATAATGTGCTGTGTTCGCCAGATTCGTTTATGTATTTTTGAGGACCTCTGCAAGTTTCGTAGACTTAAGAGAACGCAATATTCTGAAAGTTTCGAATTTCTTATAATTTTTTTAGTAGTCAAGTAGACTCTGGAAACACCACTTTGTCTCGAGAGTCATAGCAGATCGGCAGTATGCCGCCGAAAATATTATAAGGATCTCCGACTTCTCTCAATTGTTCATAGAATTCAATTTTTCACAATTTTCTGGCCATACCGGGTGGGTGGTAACTAGGGTTGCCAACCTTACTATAATATATAGTATTATACTATTTTTTGTGTCTGCGTACTATATACTGTTGGAAAAAATATAGTATGCAAAAATACTATATTTTTGCAATTATAAATATATATATATATTTCAGTCATCTGTAAGAAAGAAATGGATGACATTTATACTGAAATATCAATATTAAAATAAATATACTGTAAAACAAAGAGTCCACCTATAGAAAATGGCAACTTTTTTAAAAAACTTAGAAAGATTTACCAAATTTACTTAAAATTATTTCGCTTATGCTCTCTATTCCTGCAACTTCGGCATTCACAGAGAGTTTTTTCTGTTAAGATTTTGAAATGGTGAGATGAGAGAAATAAAACCAATATCTCACTAATAAAAAATTAACTTTTGATTTATATTAATTTAACTATTGATAGCGATAAAGCATATGATACTTTAAAAGAAATATATTTTTTATAGAGGAAATGCATAAGAAAGAAAAAAGATTTACACTTAAAAAGCAATTTTAATTTTTCTTAAAAAAAAAAAATACTATATGTGACCTGGTCTACGGAAAGGGGGCTTAGGTGTCAAAAAACCGATTTTCACTTTTTGGTTGATTCGGATGGAAGATGAGATGCTTTTTCACGTGGTGAAAAGCAGAAAATCGTAACTTGCTTAGAAGTGTACTAAAAATGTAGATAAAGAAGAGTAAAAATACGACAAAATATAATTTATTTACACGATGAACTATAATAATATTCCGATCAACAACAACACTTACTGGACCAACAACAACACTTACTGGACCAACAACAACACTTACTGGACGTCCGGCGCGGAGAACAATTAACGAGATAATGAGAAACTGACGAAACGAGTTGCTTACTTTTAACAGCTTTTTCACAGAAAACTAGTTTTCGCACGTAAGCTCCCTTTTCGTAGACACAGATCACATATGTATTTGAAGTGTACTATAAATTTCTTAGAAAATGTTGGCAACCCTAGTGGTAGCGCACACGGCCCTACGCTTTACTACGCCAGCTAGCTAATGTCATCAAATGAACGATGTTCCTGGACATTTCTGAAACATCTTGGCTCACATTTTATGACATGCGTAAACAACTAAAGAATTTATAGCATACTATAGAAATACTTCCTGAAATTCTTTATGTTTTTGCAGTTTCACCGTCGCACAGTTGCATTTTTGCTTGGCTGTGCTACATATGTTTGTCGGCTGAAAAGAGCAGTTTATGTGCTGTACAATATTTACACAACATGTGCCGAGATAAAAACTAATTTTTCCAACTCACGTTCGCCATGCTGAGCTAAATTTCTACTTCCTACTTGTGCTCGTCGGCGCCGAAGAAAAAGCGCATACAATTGCATTAGAATGACAATCGGCTAAGCAAATAGTCTCCGCTGTTAGGAACAATAAGTGAAGCTTTGTGCTTTTTCTGCACAAATAGCCGCGGGGTGCATTCCGAGTACATTGTGCAATGTTGCGTAAGTGGCACTTAAAGCGACGGACACGCTTTATGCTGCAAGTTGCATGTAGGTGCCTCCAGGCTGTGCCATATTCTTTCTTTTATTGACAGCACGTCACCAAAGTTACTTGCAACGCACGCATGTCGCTTTAGCGTTTTTATTTACGCTTGAATGTTTCAACAATACAAGTAAACAATGCAGTTGTTTTGTACATACTCTTACAAGAATCTTTATTGTGTTTTTTTTTTGCTGACGCAGCGTCTTCTAGTTCCAATTCTTTTAACCATAATCGATTGCAGCGCTTACTTCGATTTATGAATATTTTCAATCTGTTGGAGTATCGCGTAAG